TTGTGCCCCACACCGAGAATGTTTATGACTCACAGTAACGGAGGCCCCTGAACAGTTACCTTTTCTTTTCAGGACCTGGTGGCCAATGGGGCCCTTGTAAGCATCTGTAACAAGTATGGAGAGATGCCTGTGGACAAAGCCAAGGCGCCCCTTAGAGAGCTTCTCAGAGGTCCACTCTCTACCCCAGCTACTGTCCTCTCGTCCCACCTTGCATCTCTTCCCTCCACAGCACAGTTATGCTGAGACTGTTTTTCTTCCCCAGAACGGGCAGAGAAGATGGGCCAGAATCTCAGCCGTATACCATACAAGGACACATTCTGGAAGGGGACCACTCGCACTCGGCCCCGTGAGTCACTGCTGTGGGGGAAGGGTTGTAACGCAGGCTCCTGTACTGTTGGGGTCGTGTTAGGGTGAAACTGGGGACCTGACCTGCCCATATTCTCAGGAAATGGGACCCTGAACAAACACTCCGGTATTGACTTCAAACAGCTCAACTTTCTGGCAAAGCTCAACGAGAATCATTCTGGAGAGGTGATCCCTGCCCTTCTTGCTTCTCCTTCTCCAACAGCCACTAACTGTCCACTCTGTATTCCTAATTAAGGTTTTCTTCCAGGTAGTAGAAAAGAAATGGTATAGCTGAGCTAATGCGTTGTAACCTCTACCTGTCCTTCAGCTCTGGAAAGGCCGCTGGCAGGGTAATGACATTGTTGTGAAGGTGCTGAAGGTTCGAGACTGGAGTACAAGGAAAAGCAGGGACTTCAATGAGGAGTGTCCCCGGCTCAGGTGAGACAGTTCAAGTATAAGCTGTTGTTTCCAAGGGACCCAAATAGTACTGAAAAGGGAGATTGTGTTGGGTCTTGCCACTCTCTCTCCCAGGATTTTTTCACATCCAAACGTGCTTCCAGTGCTGGGTGCTTGCCAAGCTCCACCAGCTCCCCACCCAACCCTCATCACACACTGGATGCCGTATGGATCTCTCTACAATGTACTACATGAAGGCACCAGTAAGGACGCTGGTCTTGTTGGGGAGGGATTGGAATAGGGGTGGTAGACTATGAACTATTGGTTCTTGCTTCCTGTTAGATTTCGTTGTGGACCAGAGCCAAGCTGTAAAGTTTGCTTTGGACATGGCAAGAGGCATGGCTTTTCTCCATACACTAGAGCCTCTCATACCTCGGCATGCACTCAACAGCCGGAGCGTAATGGTGAGGCCACAAGTTCACTTCTGGTCCCCAAAGCCCTTTGCCTGCCTAGAATAGGACCCACCTTTTTCAACTTAACTTCTCTTCCTCAGATTGATGAAGACATGACTGCCCGAATCAGCATGGCTGATGTCAAGTTTTCTTTCCAGTGCCCTGGACGCATGTATGCACCTGCCTGGGTGGCCCCTGAAGGTAGGTGAAGGCATAGTGTTAGGAAATTAAGAAGAACCAGCCAGTGACAGGAGAAGAGGCAGAGACTGGGCAGGTTAGGAAGCTGGAATAGTAAGCCCTATTCCTTCTAGCCCTGCAGAAGAAGCCTGAAGACACCAACAGACGCTCAGCAGACATGTGGAGTTTTGCAGTGCTTTTGTGGGAACTGGTGACACGAGAGGTGCCCTTTGCTGACCTCTCAAATATGGAGATTGGAATGAAGGTGAGCACAGAACTGCAGATACTTGCAGAGGTGTGGTGGTACTGACAATCACTGTGGTAAGCATTTCTCAGAATTAATACAGATATACAGTAATGTTACCATTCAAGGGTCAAAAGGTTTTTACCTATATGGCGAATTCTGAAGCTCACTCTGTTCCTCATAATTTGCAGGTGGCACTGGAAGGCCTTCGGCCTACCATCCCACCAGGTATCTCCCCCCATGTGTGTAAGCTCATGAAGATTTGCATGAATGAAGACCCTGCAAAGCGACCCAAGTTTGACATGATTGTGCCCATTCTGGAGAAGATGCAGGACAAGTAGGACTTGGAGGTCCTTGCCCAAACTCCAGAGGTGTCAAAAGTTTGGGAAGTACACTTCCCCAAAGCTGAAGGCCTCTGATTGCCTCCCCTGTCTCCAATCATGGTACTTCCCCAGTTACGGGGCTAATCCCCTACTCCCATCCCTACTACTGTAGCCCCAAAGAGGGGCTGGGCTCAGAGCTTTGTCACTTTCCACATGATGTCTCCCAGCATGGGAGGGATCAGCCCCGCCTGTCACAATAAAGTTTATTATGAAAACAGGCTGGTGTGGGGACAGAGGGAAAGACAAATACATCTTGGGTTGGGTGGCTCAGGTGAAGTAGTGCGGCTTCTTCACATTGATGCCATACTCGCTGAGAGCTGGGGTCAAGTCTTCCATGGTTAAGGTGTACTTGCGATCCTGGGGGAAGAAGGAAGACCACCAGCTGAGCACAACAAGCCCAGGTTCCAATCTCTCATGGGTGACCCTGAGCAGGCCGGACACCTCCCCTAGGATGCTGTTTCCCCATAGAGGTTTCAGGATAGGTTAAGCCTGTAGTGCTGTAGGTGAACCTCCTTTCACACCTTGCTCTTGCTCCGGGAGCTGCCAGAGGCTGTGCCTTTCATTTTGCAGTGCTGTAGGGCATCGTTGGCGATATCTGAGATGAATTTCTGGGCAGCTAATGAGATGAGCCGAATTCTAGAGAGGAAAGTGGGGAGTGGGGATGAGATGGCAAACTCCACCCAGCACTCTGCAGTTAACCTACCCTGAGTTTACTCACATGCGTGGGTCTGAAGCTTCAAAGCCAGCACGGTTCAGGTAGTAGCCAGTCACTGCATCTGGGATCTGAGAAATCAAATTAAACAGTATTAGCTCTGCGCCCCGATGCGCTGGGTGGGGCAGAGAGTCAAAAGAGCCAGCAGTGTAGCAAAGAGGACGCCCGACAACACGGAGGTGTGGCTGACTGGCATGACAATGAGCCAGATGGCCTTGTTCAGGCAGGGAGCCCACCGTGGGTGTGTAATCCTCCAGCTGCATCAGGAAGTCCACCAGAGGTGTGCTGGACACTACAGGCTTCACTTCTCCATTGGCCGCGTTTGGCAGGGCGTAAACCCCGTTAGACATTGCCCCCTCTGGGGGTGCCGCGCCACCCGCTGCCACCGAGGCTGAAGGAGAATCAACAACGGAGGTGAGTGGAGCAAGGACCTCCGCCGCGGCGCCCGGTCCGAGACCCCCTCCCTCACACTGCCCGGCGCTCACCCGGCCCGCGCCGCTCCGCCGGCTCCCCGGCCCGCGCCGCGACGGGGCCCGCGCCCACAGTGGTGGCTCCAGCCCCGGGACCCCCTGCCGTCCCCGCGGGGCTGGCTTTGCTCTCCGCCGCCGTGCTGATGGGCAGCGCGGCGGGAGCCGACACAGGGGGCGCAGGACCCGCCACCGAGGCGGCACATGCCGGCGCCGCCTCGGGGTCCGCGCCGGAGCCGCTGCAGCTCATGGGGCCGGTGGGCGAGGCGGCGAACAGAGCCGCTTCCGCTTCCGCTCGTCTGGGCGCACGCCGCGTGACGTCACGGCGCCCGCCCACCTCTCTAGGCGGCCGGCGGCCCGCCGCGGTTCAGACGCCTCCGCAGCCCGACCTCTGCAGGGCTGTGGGCGGAGGCCAGCGGCAAGAGGTGTGGCCGCCCCCCGGCGGCTCCACCCTCCCCGGGCGGAGCCCCCGAGCCTCCGAAACTGCGCGCCGCACCTCGGTGCGGCCTTTGCTTGCGGACACGTTGATCAGGCACTCTCCATGGACAGTCTCCTGGCAATCTTTATTCTTTATAGTTCCCTTACTCAGCCTTGTAAGGGTTGTAGTGGATTCGGTGCGTGTCCCTCCCACCCACAATGGGTCTAGGAGTGTGCTGCTGTAAATGAAGAGATGGGTGTTTCACCCTGCAGAAATAACACGCCAAAGTCACATGTGAGGCACATTTGCAATTCAACAGTCATTCATTTAATTTCTGTTGCCAACTACTGGGCTAAGACCCAGGAATACAAGTAGAATAAGATCCTAGTTCACTAGCACCAACCGTGCTGGAAAGGAATCAAACAAATTAGCAATTTCAGTACTGTGTGGTTGTTTCCCAGCTACATGTAGGTGCAGTGAAAGGAAGAAAGGGAGCTCGCTAGCATCACTGCTTAATTCCAAGTGTCAGACGTTATCAACATTTATTCCTGATTTTGAAGGCAGGTTTTGATGCCCCTGACTTTTAGCCAGTAATCTTTGACAAGTCAATATACTGCTTGGTCTGGAAGATGATTTACCCATGGGTAGGAAGTCAACCATGTTGAGGGGCTTTGAGAGTGGCTCCCTTGCAGCTTAGAAGAAAAAGAACATGGGCTGAAAGCTAATGGAGAGAGAGACAGAGACAGAGAGAAAACTCTTTTGAGGCCTGGTCTCACTGTGTAGTCCTGGCTTGCCTGGAACTCTCTATATATACCAGGATGACCTCAAACTCACAGAGGCTTGTCTGCCCCTCTCTCCTTCCTGAGTGCTGGGATTAAAGGTGAGCAACACCACACCACCTGATAAAGATGTATTGGAGAGGTAAAGTCAGGTAAACTTGTTGGTTGAAGTTAGTAAGGAAGTGAAAAAAAAAAAAAATGAGAGTTAAGGTTTCTGGCTTGTTTGAAAGAGGCATTATATAATATACTAAGAGATGAAATAGTTTAGGTTTATGTTGTGTTTCTGTATTGAGCTATCTTATATTTGATGTATCAATCACTATGGGTCTAGATGTCAGTGATCTGTTCAAGGGATGATGAATTAAATATTAAGAGCAAAAAAAAAAAAAAGATGAACAGCAGCATTCCAGGAGTTAGCAGAAGAGGAGGCAAACCCGTGTGGGCAGAGGGAGTATACCCTGGAAACTAAGAAAAAGGGAGAAATGGGAAAGTGATGGAAAGAGCTGAAACTCAGGTTCACAGAAGCTAAATGTTTGTAAATGTCTGAGAGTTCAAATTAAAAACTGAACGTTGCCTCACTGTAGCCAAGAAGGGGAAAGTCAAAAATCAAAAATTGTTTAAGCAAAATTTAAAGCAAAATTTGTAATGATTTATTTATTTTGTTGAGAAATTTGCCAATGAGAACATATTTAAAACATTTTAAGTTTACAAATTTTTAATTAAAAGTTTACAAATTTTTAAATAAAGTTTACAATCCTTATATAGATCATTGCCAACCTGTTCTTAAGCAAGCAAACAAACAAACAAAAAGCCCATAAAATAAAGATTGACAAGTGTATACTAAATAAAATGTCAGGGAGACCATCACACTTTAGTGCAAGGGGAAGAAAGACTAAATGATTAGCGCAAAGGTCTCACTGCAGTGAATTGAGAAACAAGCTTAGGAGAAATAGAGCATACAGTCAGTCAGTGCAGAGGTGGTAAGTGTTGGACAGGCTGCTAGTATCAGTAACGGAAGACTGAACCTTCTTGCCCTGCTTTTACTTCTCAAGTTGGAAAGAGGAAGAAGAGATGGGGTTGGGGGTGAGACAAAATATGCTGGTTGTAGCATCTTGTTGATAATTTGGAGGCAGAAGTTAAGAGGTCTGGGTTTGATGGAGCACAGTAAGGTTTGAGTTGAGTCCTGCTCACAGGATTTGAGGGTTAGGGAAAAGATGTCTGCAAGCAGGCAACAGGGCTTCAGCAGGGCTTCTGTTGAGGAATAGTAAGGAACTGAGCCTTCTCCTGTAGTACATGGGACAGTTCTGCTTTCCCAGCAGGGCAGGAAAGGATCAAGGGTTGAGAAGGGTCTTCAGTAGAGCTGGAAAGTTGGGTGTTCCCCATCCTGTCACAGGATCCCAGCCAGGACCAGAGCAGAAACCCTGACCCTCCACTTCTTCGTTCAGACAGGATTCATGGCAGCCATGGGTTACCTGGGAGGAGGTGGTGGCATCAGATCTAGGCCTACTGGTACCAGTACTCCTTAGACTGCATCTTATTTATATTCATATCACTGAGGCAAGCCCACATAGCAAAAGTGCTCCAAGCTCACATCTGCCCTTCCCATATCCTATAACAACATCCACCCTCTTTCCTCCAACACTTACATCAAAGAGTCCTGCCCCATGCTGCTGATAGAGCCTCGGATTGAGAAAGCCAAGAGGGGGTCGGCCATTGAGGATTCTGTGCTCATTTATCAGGGATAAAATTCCCCCAAACACTGGAGTAGAGGCCTACAAGATGAAGTTTCAAGAATAGATCAACGTTTTAGAGGGATTAGACTTTTAAGGAATGATGCTTGCAAAGATCAGAAGTCTCTAAGGAGTCAGGGGTTCTGGGTGCAAGATTTTGTGGTAGGGGAGTGATGGTAGTTCCTGGGAAGAGGGTTTAGAGCCAAGCTGATTCTCACCGAGGTTCCAGATACCCATGGAATGGGGACTCTGTTGCTGACCACCCAGTAGCCATCAGAAAGTGCAGCAACATCTGGGTAGGCACGGCCACTAGCATTGAAGTAACTAGATGGTGGTAGATGAGAGCTGGACTTTAAGAACTGGGCCACTGCTTCCTCCTGAAGGACATTTCTGAGTGTGAGTATTGCCCAGTAGCCTGCTATCAGGCTGCTGGAATGAGGGCACCCCCCTCACCCCATCTTCCATGTATCCACACGAACATGCACAAACCTGGTATGAAGGCCGTGGGAAAACATTGCTGAAGCCTCCACCACTTATATAGTCAACTACTTCATTTGTGACAAGGAACGGATTCTTGAAGGAGGTGCCTCCTACCGTAGTGACATAAGGGCTAAGGAAAAGACAGTATTCAGATAGTGGGTGACTTCCAAGACGTGTGGAGGTGGGTGGGGTTGCTCTGGGACTTACAGGAAAAGGGAGTAAGACTGTGGAAGCCTGTATACAAGGTTTACTGAGATTGGAACCCCTCAAGACATAACTTGAGTTGACTGTGTATACTTTTCTACATGAAAAACAAAACAAAACAAAACCCTGCAACTAAAATGCCTAGAGACCAAGGAAGAGAAACACTGGTTGCCATATGCTGCTCAGAAGTCTTGCAGCCTGGGACATATAGGAAGAAAAGGGGTGAGTACAGCAACCAAAACAGGTAAAGCTGAAGGCTGGGCCATAGAAACACCTGGTCAACATCACAAGTGAAAGATCTGTGGGGTGTCTTACCTAGAAGCAGGAAAGCTAGGACGGAACTTGTGTCTTCCGGAGACAGACCAACACCCAGCTCCAGTGTCACCTGGGAGAGACATATTGCCAGTAGTCCCTGTTAAAGCTCTGAGTTCCTATTATGAATCAGAAACCAGGCTGAAGGGTCAACCGGGGTAAAGTATCCAGGTTGGGTAGGTGCACAGTCTAAGTTTAGGGTGGAAGGTTACCTGAAGCAAAAAGTAGGGTGAGACCCCGAGCAGCAGCCTTCATGAACTCAGTGTTGACTCTCTGGATGTAGATGCTGCTGAGGGAATCTTCATCATCTCCATAACTCACAGTATGTACATGTGGCAAGGCTGACTCATTGCTGAGAAGCAGGAGCCACTGTAAGAAGGGCTCCTGTGCCTCGTGCCGGCCTGGATTGTTTTTAAAGAAGGGGTATGGGTAGTCATTGGAGGATTGCTAGACTTTCCCTTCAAGTTCATGGCAGCCCCTTGATGAAATGAAGCAGAGATCAGCAGCCAACTCCAACCCACACTCCCACCCCCCCTCATTCTCTTGGCAATACCGGGGCTACTGTAGACCCAAGTGGTGATGTTAGCACCAGCACTCATCAGGTATTCCACATCTAGACTGGCCTCGATCCCAGCTCGACCTCGCCCCTGTTTTCCAACCACTTTGGCTACTGATACGTGGTGTGCAAAATCGCCACCAAACAGGCGCATGAACTCGGTCAGGTCTGAGTTATGGAAGTACTGTTCCAGGAACTGCAGAAACATTCAAACCAGGGATCACGGATCAGAGAGTGAGGCCTAGGGCAGAAAGGCATTACAGATATTTTGGGGAGGTGGTGAGGACCTCGGGGCTTGGCTCACCTGGGCGCACGCCTGGCTATTGTTGGTAGTGCCTGACCCCACATCTTGCACTGTCAGGTTGTAGCGCTGACGGAGCACAGATGGAGTCACCCCCAGGTGCAGGCCAACACTTTCTACCCCGCGTGGTTCTGGGCGTTGTCTCAGAGATGATGTAGGGGGAAAACGGTGCAGTCCCCCCACTGTGAGAATGGGTCAGGCGTAAGGAGGTGGCACAGATACTACCACTCACTTTACTACTGGCGATACCCCTTGCCTCTTGTGGCATCTAAACTTCTTCAGCCCCCAGATCTGCCTTCCCCAACCTCCACCAGTCCCACTGGGCTTACCAAAATCCACATGAGAGGCCAAAGCCTGGGGAAGCTGGTAGGGATGTGGGGACCTTACAACGTGGGTCTCTGCAGGTCCCCCCACATAGCGATGGAATTCAGCCCCAGGGAGCAGCAGCTCAGCCTGCCTGGAAGTCAGAAAACAGAAAGCATGGAGGGGAGCAGAAGAGTTGGCCTGAGCCGCCAGTCATCATCTCCTCATGCATTAGCTATACCCACAGGCTCTCAGCAAGCTCTCAACTTCCTCCTTTTGGGGTATTTTGTCTCCTTGGAGTGACAATTAACTCCATGGGGCAATCAGTACTTCTCACCAGACACTCAGCCAGCAAGTCAGAAAGTCCTGTGTGATCACTGAATTGCAATCCCGGGCTCCAGCTGCTGAGAGCCACTTTTGGACAGTGCGGAGGGTGAGTTGTGATGGCTGGACCAGCTCAGCTACATCCTTTAGGGTTAGGTACTTTCCTGTAGGGATTCAGAAGAGGATCTTGTCTTCATTTGTGCCTGTTTGAACCTCAATCGGTAGACATCAAGCCTTCCCAAGAACTGTGTAAGTGCTAGGCATACTGGGAATCTAAGGGAAGTAAAGGCTGGAGAGACTTGGAATGTCATGACCAGAAAATGTAGTACTACAGTCACAAAAATTCAAGAAGGTTAATAAACTTTAACTGTACCAGTTTAAGCTTATCTTCAAAACTTTTCCCCAGATTTTTGGAGCCAATTATACAGAGCCTTCTAATTTAGCTCATCTTCATGCTTGTTGATTTTAAACAACGTAATCGTGAGTCATTCTTTCCTGCATGCAAGGAGTTTCCTCAGTGATCTGAGTATGCCCCTCCCCCACCTTCAGTTTCAGTCTTCACATACACACACACAAACACCACACTCTTGCCTCATCATGCAGGACTTTAAGCAGGGTAAGGATCCAATCCAACCTGACCATCAGAGAGAATGTTCTGGAACACAATGGGAAGTGCTCTGGAGAGGAGGGTGAAGGAGATAAAACTGCAAGCCAGTCAGGGTGCTGGGCAGTAGTCCAGGAGAGAATAAACAACTGAGTGGGTGAAAAGAGGGATGGCCAGAGTGGATTAACCCAAAGACAATTTAGGAGTTGAACAACTTCAGTATTGGAAAAGAGGAGGATGTGGAGTAGATATGCCAGTGGGGAAAGGAACATGATTTGGTAATCACTTACACAAACTGAGTGCTATATCTCCACTTGGTAGCTGGCAAGTAGAAATCAAAATTTCAATCTAGATCTGACTATAAAACGTGTACTCTTAAACACATCTACCCCATTCCTGCCCTTGTCTTACTGGAGGTTGAATCTAGGGTTTGTACATGCTGGGTGAGCACCCTACCCAAGCCCTAAATTTTTTTTTTTTTTTTTAATCTTGGCAGTCCTGCTATACTGCCCAGGCAGGCCTTGGATTCAAAATCCTCCTGTTTTAGCCCACGGAGCTAGGATTATTACCTCATGCCACTAGGACTGAAGAACTCAGGTGGAAAATGGGGGGGGGGGGCATACATAAATTCAACAGTTACTGCCATCTGTCTATCATAACAGAAACATGATCCTACATGATCATCACCAGGCAATGCCTGCCTGGTTCTGGCCTCCCACCACCTGCCCCCACTTCTGATAGGCACCATATCGAGGAGAGCTGGGATCCGATACAGCCTGCACCAGCTCCGAGAGTTTTTCCAGGTTCTGCTGTTTCAGCGCAAAAGTGAGACTCAGCTCTTCCTCAGGGTCCACGCGGCCCAGGGACACCCAGCCTGGGGGCAGCCTGCAGGGTCAGGGACATGACTTGGTTAGGCCATAAATGGGAAATCCAATTCATGAATGTTTGGGCTTAAGAAGAGAGGCTTCTGGTGGAACCCCAGACGCAGATAAGGACCATATGAGGTAAATGACAGGAGATTAAGCCGAGGTGGGGTGGCAAGTAAGGTGTACAGTGGAGACTGGCAGCAGTTGTGAGGGTGAGAAAAGCTAAGACCAAGTCAGTGGCTGCGGAGACTCGTCCGGGGAAAGCACCAACCGTACTAAATGAACTCACATCCACCGCTGGTCCGGCTCAGGGCTGTGAGTGCATTTGCCCGCGACGACGAGAGCAAGGAGCCCCAGGAGGCTGCAGAGACCGCAGGTGGGTTTCATCAGGAGCCGAACCATCACAGCGTTCCCTCTACAACATGTTACTGCTAAAGTGGTCCCCTCAGCCACCCTTCCTGCCTCCCACCTCAGTTTCTCACCACGCTGGGAGTCCCATTTTGGCTGGCAGGGGATCTGTAGTCATGTGACAAGTCACATGAGCACGGCCTGGCACCTCCTCCATCTCCTTGCCTAGTAACTAGTGACGTTGCTGACTCCTCCCTCCCAGATGAGCCACTCTGCAAGCTGGGGCTGCTGCTAGGATTCCTCCACTATGCTGTGTTGCGCATTAAGCACAGGGGTCCTCATCTGCTGTTGAAGTCTGTTTCTCCAGGAGTCACAAAGGAGTGGGCTCTGAGGCCGATAGGTATTCTCCTGGCTGTACAATATTAGAAAAATTGGCTCTCAGAGAGTAGTTTTTTTTTTTTTTTTTCATTTAAAATTCAGTGGCTGTTACGTAAAAGGAATTTGCCTCAAACTTGGGAGTAAAAATGTACACTGAGCTATTATAGCAAACAAACCGTGGAGCCCAGACTGAGCTGGCTCAGACTCGACTTATTAATGTGGACATTTCGTGGTTCCAAAGGGTAGGGTTGGGGAATCTCTTCCCTTACCTACTCCTGTAACCACCCCATCTTTTTTCCAGACCTTCAGTCTTACAACTCTAGACTGCCCCCAACTCAGTCTTTCCAGGAAACCACTGCATCTGAGGTCCTGCCCACAGTCAAGGGAAGAGCTGCAGAGAGCCAGAGGCTTGTGAGTTCCCAGTGCCAGGAAACCACTGCATCTGAGGTCCTGCCCATAGTCCAGGGAAGTGCTGCAGAGAGCCTGAGGCTTGTGAGCTCCCAGCCCTACTACGGCTGCCTGGGTGTGCTTCCTCCCTCTGGGCCTCCAAAAGTCCTGTGCCAGGTATCCACAGCACTATGCCAGGCGACTTCTGGTTACCCTGACAGAATAGAGCCAGAGGCTGGATACAAACTGCAGTTTATTAAGGCTCCAGAGTGAGAATTGGCACTTGTTCTGGGCAGGGGCAGGGGTGTCAGAGGAACCCAAAGAAGTTGGGCCCAAACAGGTTGGTGGGACCTCCCCCATCCCCCTACCCCCAATAAATAAAGTCTCAGCTCCATCACAGGGTGCTGGTACAGGGCAGGAAGTCTTGGCTGAAGAGATCCAAGGCTGTTGCCTCATTTTTATTTCTCCCCATACTGGATCTTACCACAGGTCAGTGACCAAGAGACCCTCTGTGGTCCTAGTGCTGAGGAGACTGGGGTAAAATGTGGGACCTGTCCCAACTATAAGAGTTTGGGGTGGAGAGCTGGGGACTGGTGGTGGCCTCCCCATGGCCAGTCATGGTCCAAGGCTGCCCAGGGCAGGCTGAGAATGGGGCCTGCTTTGGGGACACTGGACGTGTCCCAGGTCGGGGCCCAGTTAGGGCCACAGCTAGATGCGCAGCTCTGTGTCGTCAGGCGGCTCCAGGCTAGACTCTGTGCTGAGTGCTGAAGCTGAGGGGCCCTGGGCTACCCCGAATGGTGAGACAACGGGGGAGCGAGCAGCCAAAGGAGAGAGTGAGGGTGAGAAGCTGGGGGACATGGCAGCTGAGGAGAGGGAGCCTTCATGGCTGATGGGTGAGCGGTGGGAGGCTGGTGGGAAGATGGCCCGGGCTGCAGCCGTGCTTGCGGGCTTTGGGGGAACAGACTTGGCCCCCGGGTGGGCCACGGCAGTGATGAGGGGTGGTGGGTCGATGCGGGGAGCAGGAGGACATGGCCGAGCTTCATCTTTGAGCCGAGCAATCTCTGTGAAGACACTGGCCAGAGGCTGGAACTGAGGGCACCAGCTCAGCAGGTAGTCCCAGTTATAGCTGCCACGGAGCTCTTCCTCACCAGCCACAATGGCCGTCAGTGCGCCAGCTACACATGGCTTTCCATCTGCTGGGAAGCCATAGTCCCCAGTGGGGGCAGGGCTCAGGCCACAGCCCCCCAGGAAGGCTGTGGCAGTAGCTGGGGGGCCCTCCTCCCGGTACAGAGTGGCTCCTGCTCCTGGCAGCAGCAACCCTGCCTTTCGGCCCTTATACCAGGTGTCAGGGGCAGGAGGCTCACAGGATGTGTCACTCAATCCGTCCGCATCCTGCTGAATGCCTGAGTCAGGGCCTCGGGCAGCCAGTGAGGAGGCCACACTGGCCACACGGGGGAACTCGTTGATCATTCGGATCTCATCATCCTCTGCAGCCTCTGCTGAGCCTCGACCACTTGAATGTGAAGGGTCCAGGGAGCCACCGCGAGGGTAGGGTCCTCCAGCTCCTGGCCCACCATAGCTGGGGAGAGTCTGATGGTACAAGTGCTCAGAGGGTGGCGGACTTGGGGGTTCCCGGCCCAGCTTCTGTAAAGAGCTACTGGCTATGGGTGCTGCTTGTGACATCGGGCCAGGGGCTGCCTCAGCCTTGCGGTTCCGTGCCCGAACAAGGCCCAGGACCAGAGCTGCCAGGGCAAGCACCACCACAACTCCCAAAGAGGCTGCCACAGCCCCCACCAATAGCAAGTTGAGGTCAGGTGCCAGGCCTAGAGCAGTGTGGGTAATATCCACAGTCACAGGCACTGTGGCACTCCGGGATCCAGGCAGAGGCCCTCTCGCTACTACCTCTAGCCTTAACTCCCGAGGGGCTTCACGTCGGGTTCGGCCCCCACCCCCAGAGCTGGTTGTTCCACTTCCTGGTGCCCGACTGTCCACGCGCAGGTACAAAGCACCTGTTGTCTGGTTGATACCAAAATAGGGGGAAGAGGTAGCCAGAGAATAGAGCACCAGGCCATCAGCTCCTCCATCCTCATCTGTGGCCTGCACATGGCCCAGGCTGTGGCCACGCTGGGCACCTTCCGGCACTTGGAAGTGGAAAGCTGGAGCCAGGAACACAGGGTCATATTCATCTTCTCCAGTAACCAGCACTGACACAGTGACGGAGGCTGAGAGATTTCCAGCATCAGCAGCGCCCACTAGCAGACGAAAGCTTCCCGTGTGCTCATAGTCGAAAGGTACCCGTGCCCGAAGTTCCCCTGTTGAGCTGTTCAGTGAAAATGCCTCACGACCCTCAGGCCCTGGCACTGCCTCCAGCAGGCTATACCGAAGTCTACCAAAAGTCCCAGCATCCCCGTCAACTGCATGCAGTGTGGTCACAAGCGTGCCTGGAGGCTGGTTCTCAGCAAGGCTGGTACTGAGCAGGTTCAATGGGAAGGCTGGACCATGGTCATTCACATCCTGGACCTCAACTGTCACCGGCACCAAAGCAAAGTGTGTTCCAGAAGGGTCAGCTGCCTGCACCACGAGCTGGTGTCGAGCCTGGGTTTCACAGTCCAGGGGGCGGGCCAGTCGCAAAGCACCCGAGTTCTCGTCCAGCTCAAAGAGCCCCAAAGGATCACCTGAGCTGAGGGTGAAACGCACAAGGCCATGAGGTCCAGGGTCAGCATCAGAGGCCTCCACATGCAATATCTCAGCTCCAACAGGCATGTCCTCAGGTACCGTCGCACGGTAGGATGCTCGGGTAAAGACAGGTGGGTTGTCATTGACATCCAGTACCGTGACAGTCACTGGCACAGCTGAACTCCGGGGAGGCTGTCCCCGATCAGCTGCGGCCACAGTTAGGTTGTACTGTGTCTGGCTTTCAAAGTCTAGAGGCTCAAGCAACACTAGGCAGCCCAAAGCCTGGGGACCTGGTCCGACCCCGTCCCCTGCCTCAGCCAGCCGGGGTTCCAGCTGGAAGACTCGGCCCCGGTTGCCGCTGATGATGCTGTAGTCCACGGTGGCGTGGGTGCGGCTTCCATCAGCATCTGTGGCCTCCAGGGTGAGCAGGGTGGAACCAGGGGGCAGATCTTCAGACACAGCAACACGGTAGTGTGCCAACGTGAAGCTCGGGGCATGGTCATTCTGGTCCTTCAGCTGCACGTGCACCGTGGCCCGTGCTGTCCGGCCTGGAGCCCCGTGGTCTCGAGCTTCCAGCACCACGTCCACCACGCCTGCCCCCTCATGGCCCAGGGCCACAGCTCCTACTGTTGTGAACAGAGTTCCTGAGATGAGAAGGGAAAGAAACAAGCATTCAGTAATGTCACCTTGACAAGAGGAACTCTCCAGGGTCCGGGCAATGGCTTTGGGAGTCAGACTCATGGGAACTGTCCATGCGCTGGGACAGTATGTAACATCTTCAGGTAGTCCACATTCAAGAAACAGCCTCTAGACATACACTGAGCAGGGACCGTTATTAAAGATGAGGGCGGGTGGATGCCCTCCCTGGGTCAGACAGAGTTCCAGGAATCAAGGTGTGACAAAGTAACCGATTTTAGAACTGAGTCGATGATAAAGGATCAGATTCTGGGAAAGACATACCATTGTTGTGGTCCACACTGAAGCCCTCAGCAGGGGAAGCCAGGTGGTAGGAGATGTGACCATTGGCTCCTGAGTCTCTGTCGGTAGCAGAGACGGAGAGAATGGCGCTGCCAGGAGGGGTGTGCTCCAACATCATTACCTGAAGAGTAACAGGAAGTATTTGTGGCCAAGCTTCCCTGCCTCCCTCCTGTCCCTCTCAGCCTATGAGGTGAAGCTTGGTCCCATAAGCTGTGCTTGCTGTCTGCTTTAGAAGCATACTCCTTAGCACTGGAATAAGACCTGCCCACCCTCTTCCTTCTCACCGAATGATGCAGAACTTGGGTGCAGTTCGCAGGGCCTGGAAAGCCAGCCTAAAATGAGACACTCCCTACTCATTTCCCCATCAACCTCCACATCCAGACTAGTCCGCCCACTTCTACCTCTGTCCTATTGCTCCAACAGGAACAGCCCCAGGCCCAGGCATGGGTGCAACCAGAAAGAGCTGGTACCTGGTAGAGGCTCTGTGAAAAGGTAGGCGCATTATCATTGACATCTTCCACAAGCACTGTGAGGTTGGCATGGCCCTCGTGAGGCCCATCATGCGCCAGCAGCTGTAGGTGGTAATGGTCACATTGCTCAAAGTCCAGGGGGCCCGTGAGGGAGACACGTCCTCCATAACGGCCAATACTGAAGGGTTCCTGAGGCCCAGATGGGCTCAGCACATACCATAGCACTGGTCCAGAATCCACATCATTCCCAGTTACCTGTGCGATCTCTGAGCCCAACAGTGCATCTGCAAGACACAGGAAAAGGTG